GTGTGCCCGCAAAACCAACGCAACATCCGCATCTCTGCTACACTTAGTTGTTGGACATGTTGCCTTTTTGTAGGCCAACATTCAGCACCGTATAGCATCGCCGGGCGAATTGCCGTCCTATAGAACTTACCTTTTAGCTTTTGTGGCACCCTCTTATCACAGAGAACGCCCCAAGCTTGACGCCATTTCAACCAACCGGCTGCAATTCTATGCCTAACATCTTCATCAATGCCACCATCCTTTTGTAGCATCGATCCTAAATACTGGAAAGTCTCCTTCTTGGCCACCACTTGCCCGTCAAGGCTAACATCACCATCATCATGAGTAGCCATGCTGAAAGCGCACGTCATGTACTCGGTCTTCGTCCTACTAAGTCTGAAGCCTTTCGACTCTAACGTGTCCTTCCACAGCTCTAACTTCCTATTTACTCCGGCCCTACTCTCGTCAACTAGCACCACATCATCAGCAAAGAGCATACACCAAGGGAGATCATCTTGTATGTCCCTTGTGACCTCATCCATCACCAAGGAAAATAAATAAGGGCTCAATGCTGACCCCTGGTGTAGTCCTATTTTAATTGGGAAGTCGCTGGTATCGCCCCCACATGTTCGAACACACGTCATCGCATCCTTGTACATATCCTTGATGAGGGTAATGTACTTAGATGGGACTTTGTGCTTTTCTAAGGCTCACCACATGACATTCCTCGGTACTCTGTCATAAGCCTTCTCAAGGTCGATAAAGACCATGTGCAAGTCCTTCTTTTGGTCCCTATATCTCTCCATCAACTGCCGTATTAGGAAAATTGCCTCCATGGTCGACCTTCCAGGCATAAACCCAAATTGGTTTTGGGTCACACTCGTCACTCGTCGTAGGCGATGCTCGATAACCCTCTCCCAGAGCTTCATCGTATGGCTCATCAACTTAATCCCACGGTAGTTACCACAGCTTTGAACATCACCCTTGTTCTTGAAGATCGGTACTAAAGTACTTCTCCAGCATTCATCAGGCATCTTGTTTAACCGAAAGATGAGGTTAAAAAGCTTAGTTAACCATACTAACGCTCTGGCGCCCAAACATCGCCACACCTCAATGGGAATACCATCAGGGCCCATTACTTTACCTCCCTTCATCCTCTTCATAGCCTCTCCGATCTCTGCCTCTCGGATTCTCCTCACCAAGCAACTATTGGTATCCTCAAATGAGTCAACCAACTCCAGGGTAGGACCCTCACTCTCCCCATTAAACAATTTGTCGAAGTACTCTCGCCATCTGTCCTTGATCTCCCCATCCTTCACCAGTGGTCGATCCGACTCATCCTTGATGCATTTGATTTGGTTGATATCCTTTGTCTTCCTCTCCCGAATCCTAGCAATCTTATAAATGTCCTTCTCCCCCTCCTTCGTGCCTAGGCGCTGATAGAGGTCATCATAGGCCTGACCCTTCGCTACACTCACGGCACGCTTTGCAGCCCTTCTCGCTATTTTATAGCTCTCAATGTTGGTTGCACTCTTGTCGAGGTGAAAATGCTTGAAACACTCTTTCTTCTCTTGAATAGCCCTTTGTACCTCGTCATTCCACCACCAAGTGTCTCTCGCATCCTGCTTGCCTCCCCTACTCACACCAAGTACTTCTGCAGCCACCTTCCGTACACATGTTGCCATCTTTAGCCACATGTCATATGCATCTTCTCTTTTTTCCCAAGGCCCCTCGCCTAGCATCCTATCCCTAAACGTCTGCGCCACTTCCCCTTTAAGCTTCCACCACTTCGTTCTCACGGTCTTGGCACATTTGTCCCGGTGGACACGTACTCGGAATCGAAAGTCCGCCACCACCAACTTATGCTGGGGGACAACACACTCCCCAGGTATCACCTTGCAATCTACGCAAGCGCGTCTATCCTCCCTCCTTGCAAGGATAAAGTCGATCTGACTTGAGTGACGTCCACTATGGAAGGTCACTAGGTGAGATTCCCTCTTCCTAAAGAGGGTGTTCGCTATCAGCAAGTCGTAGGCCAACGCAAAGTCCAACACACCCTCCCCCTCTTCATTCCTACTACCATATCCAAATCCTCCGTGCACTCTCTCGAAACCTATATTAGTCGCGCCCACATGTCCGTTGAGGTCTCCTCCTACGAAGAGCTTCTCGCTGGCAGGCACCGTACTGATCAAGGTGTCCAGATCTTCCCAGAATTGCCTCTTGGCGCTCTCACTAAGACCTACCTGGGGGCATAGGCACTGATCACATTCATGGTCACATCCCCAACTACCAATCGGACTAGGATAATCCGGTCGCCTTGCCTCCTAACATCTACAACTCCATCCTTAAGGCTCCTATCGATCAGGATGCCTACACCATTCCTACTCGATGAAGCCCAAGTGAACCAAAGCTTAAAGCCAATATCCTCCACTTCCTTCGCCTTCTGCCCCTTCCATTTAGTCTCCTGGACGCATAGGATATTAACACGCCTCCTAATAGCTGCATCGACTAGCTCACGTAGCTTACCCGTTAGGGACCCTACGTTCCAACTACCTATCCGGACCCTAGTTGGTTCGACTAGCTTCCTTGCCCTTCGCACCCGTCGAGAGAGATGCGAAGACCCTTGCTCATTTTCCACTACACCCGGGCGCCGATGTAGCGCGCCACTAAGGAAATGACGACCCGGTCCTTGCTCACTTAACACCATGCCCAAACCACGACATGGCGCGTCCCTTAGGGGGAGACGACCCGGCCCTTGCCCATTTGACACCATACCTGGGTTCCGATATGGCGCGTCGCTAAGAGGGTTACGCCCCAACGAATAAGTGATAGTAAATGTGAAGTAGTGTTAGTTTGATCCCTAGTGCTCAACTATTTGTATTAATTCGAACTACCTCAACTTTTAGACTCCATCCTTTTTTTCCGATAAAAGGTCACTCGCAAAATTTCTTCAAAGCAAGATATTTAGCTAATTCCCACATAACAACTCTGCAATTAAACAACATCCCAACGAATGAACAAAAAAAAAAAAAGTAAAGCCACCAGCAAATAGCAATCTTGAAATGGTAAAAATGAAAGCCTCGCCCCCACAAACCTTAAGAAAACCCAATATTCAATATCATGTACTTCTCCGTTTCTCTAGTACAACATTCAAACAACGAATTATGGAAAACCCAAAAAACAAAAGCGTAAAACAAGATTGCATATATAATATTCTGCTACGAAAACACCGACAGCAGCTGTACTGCCACACCGACAGTCCATATCTCCGTGAATTTTTCAGCTACACTGACTAATAATGAAAGCACCACCTGCCTCTTTTTACATGCTTTGCTAGATTCCATCTTCGATATTTTCCCAGAGTTTTTGTTACTTTTTTAAGTAGTCGTCAACACATAAGCTTATAAGGGCATCCGGTGGTTCGGATTTTCAGCAAAAAAAGAAAAGAAAAGAACGATGACAGCTGGATCAGAGGAAGTAATCTGGCGTGCGCCGAGTTACATCAGGCTCACCACGTCTAGGAGCTGGCTCAAACTGCAATTGAGAACGTGCACAAATAAAAATGCATGCGATGAAACTGTAGTAAGGACAAGCATTAACCAATTATCATGTTTATCAGTCTAAGTTGAAGCTTAAATGATAGGGATGATTACAAAAAACCTTACCGTCGAGGATAATCATTAAAAAGAAAAAACATAATCCATCAATTTTATAAAATGCCGTTGACGCACCCAATTTATTAACAAGTATTCCTATCATGGATATTGAAGGACTGTGATATTTTAATACTTAGTTGGGGTTTTGTGTGTGTGTGTGTGTGTGAGAGAGAGAGAGAGAGAGAGAGACAGAGAGAGACAGAGAGAGACAGAGGAAAACCTGAATGAAACTATGACCCTGGGAATCATCAACTTCCAGAATAGATGCCATGTTTCCACAGCGGTAACAATAATTGGGCGCACTAAAGATGGTAACGACCTTTTGGTCCTGAAACAAGATGCACAATTATCCCAAAAAATTCCTAACATAAACAATTAACAGGCAAACATGAGAATTTTAGTAATATTTACATGAGCCCAATTAAATCCCTCCATAACAAGCTGGTGAGCTCGAGCAATAAGCTTCAAGCCATTTGTATGGTTAAACTGCTCTGAAATGTCCTGTTAA